AATGAGCTGGGCCAGCACACTCCCAGGGAGGAAAGGGCTATAATGATCAAGAAGGGTGGGCCAGGAAAATTGACATTTCTGGAGTGTCAATTCTTTAGCAAGTTTAGAGGCACTTTGCAAGCCAATATAAATTGGTTATAGAAAGGAATAACACTGAAAGCATTTCTAATACTTGGATTTTTCTGTGCTTTTACCCTCAATTTTTTTAAGTGGGGGACAGGTTCTCTTTTACTATTTTCCTTTTAAGGACTTTTAATCTTCTCTAGATCAAGACAAATGCAACATCATAGTAGCAGAATATGTTTTTATATTTCCAACGGTATATAGAATCTCTTAGTAATCTCACAAGCCTCTAACAGCCCTGTGTTGAAATTCCTCAAACAAAACCATATACAGTAATTCAGCCGTCTCTAATGCAGCCTCATTGTTCTGTTCCAATGGCACTGGACAACTCAGACTGCTCAGCGCTGTCATAACACATCAAGGACAAAGTGTTTACATGTCCATAGACGGTTCTGGAGAAGTATCATCGAGTCACATCTGCAGTCTGGAAGATAGATAATAAAGATAATAAAGGTAACTGTTCAACTGTGCTATTCACAGCGGAACTTGCAGTACGATGCTGTGTCCAATGATATTGTCCGGGCCTCTCCCTCTGTAGAAATTGCTGGCTTACAGTATATCTAAACTGTACCTGTAGAGAAAAACATTAGATTTTATACTTACTTTTCCACTGTCTACTGTATTGCTGGGTGTGACATTGCTATCGTTCCAGGGAGATTTTTGGGGATCAGTGGTACCCCAAATCTCATGAGAGAAACATGACATCATTATCTTTCCGGGGAAGTTCCTGGGCAACGTTGGTACCCCAAATCTCACGAGAAGACACTCCATCCCAGTGCAAGAAAGTCTCATCTTAAGGAACATGACATCATTATCCTTACGGGGAAGTTCCTGGGAAACACCGGTACCCCAAATCTCACAAGTAGAGACTCCAGATCGGTGCGAGAGAATCCCTTCTTAAGGAAAATGATGTCACTATCCTTCCGAGGACGTTCCTGGGGAACCTTAGTACCATGAGAAGACACTCCAGCCCAGTGTAAGAGAGTCTTGTGTTAATGAGCATGGTATCACTATTCTTCCGGGGAAGTTCTTGGGAAACACTAGTACCCCCATTCACATGAGAAGTCACTCCAGCCCAGTGCAAGAGAGTCTCATGTTAAGGAACATGGCATCACTATCCTTCTGGGAAGGTTCCTGGGGAACACTGGTACCCTAAATCTCTCAAAAAGACACATTCCAGCCCCAAGCAAAAGAGACTCTCCTTAAAAAACATGACATCCATATCCTTTAAATAGTGCTTCAAAGTTCAGTCTCAGTATAGATATAGAGCCTGGTCTCATAGTCACTGCTCATCTACCCTCCTGTAACACTTAAGCCTGTATGTATGAAGATCAAAGATCGCCAAATTTTCATCTTCACCCATGTACATAGTGACAGCATATATCTTAAGGCAGCCTTGGACTGTCCCCTATTGTAATTGTGACCCTTAACAATTCAGAAATAAATTATGTACACCTTACTGGGAATGTCCACAGTCTTGCTCAGTGTGTCCTGTGAAAGCCCAGTCCAGTCCACGGACCATGTAAATAATATTTAAAAATCGAGCCTTCATTTTATCCATACAATTATCCAACATCACCCCCCACCCTTCAACCCAGATGGTGTGTAGGACAGCCACGCCAATAGTATTTTTGACCTAGAATGTCTCCATGTAGCTGAAGATTCCTATAATGATAGTAGGAATCAATGATGTCTGGAAATAGACTTGTGTCTTGGACACTTCCCTAAAATGCCCCCTGTAAACTTCTTTTTTCTTGGCTCCCGTTCTTGAACTGTTAGTCGCTATTTCCTAAAGAACAGGTCCAGTGTAGATCTGAGCACACAAACGGCTAGTTGATTGCAGTCAGTTTTAATGTCATTCAATGGCAGCTGGACAGTGGCCTTTTCTCCTGCTTATTATGTAAATGGGTCTGGAAGAGACAGAGGCCGTTCAGCCGCTATCTTGGGCTCTACTTGTTCTTTACTCGCAGTGTTTGGCAGAGTGCGAATGTATCCAGATGGAAAGAATGTGCTTTGTAAGGGGCAGTGAATGGCACAGATTGTTAATATGTGCATCGCTATGCCGCAGGGAATCCCAGCTTACACTCTAGTGACATAATTGCACCGGACAGCAGGGTATTGCCCCCTCTGCTTCCAGCCAGACACTTCGCTTTTTCACAGTTGGCTGTCGTTAATATGCAGGGACTGAACTCAGCAGTGCTTGGTTCTTTAGCATGCCTTTGTAGATCTGCTGTGTAGCTCCACATCTGTTTACATGTGCATGAAAACCAGGGCAAAAATCTTACTAGAGGACTTTGCATATCACTTACAGGACCATGCAAAGTGCAGAAACCTGTGAGGACAAATCAGATGCCATCTTTTTCTTTGTTTTATTGCAGCACACAGAAATCTGATTGGTCAATACTCTAAGCTGTCCATTGCACGTAATCATCATACTATCTTATTGCACAAGAGATATGTTACCTCTCTTCTGCAATAACATAAACTTACCTTTCTGTTTGCAATCTTCTTCAGAATGCACACTGAGCTGTGCATGCAGAGCTCGATTTTTCTCTGTCCCTGGAAAGAATGAATTTGCATTTCACGGGAGTTCATTCATCCCCTGCCAATCAAACAAGCCAGCCAAAGACCCAGGACCAATAGGACACTACATTTAGTTTGCTAAAGCATTGTGTATCTTAAATAATTTCCTTTTTTTTTACTGAAATACTGTTTCCACCTTCCATCATTTGTTACATTTCCGCCCTGGTGTTCTCCTACAGCCCCCTACAGCTCCCTTGCAGTCAGTTTTTGTCTACATGCAATCTGGCACTGGTATTTGGCAGGATTCCAGATGGTGACAACAGTGAACCATGCCTACGTAATGTGTGTTGAAACAGCAACTTGTAGTCTCCATGAAAGCTACATAGAATATGATGACTCCGGGACCTTAGACCACTGCAGTGGAGGGGGAGAGAGGCTCCAGGGAACGCTCGGCTCGAAGGATTGGGTGAGTATAACTGTGTTATTTTTTACCCTAGGCAAAAACGAGCACTTAACCCTTGCAGCGTCCATAAGGGCCATGACATACTGGCAATCCTGCAACAGTTAGAGATGAAGGAAATACACCTCAATGGTTTAGCCATAGTGCAAGCATCTCCATGAGTGTCCTCTCTACTCCCTTAGTGATCCTGACACTGGCGAGTTGATCCCAGCGACAGGATCGCTAGAGTCATGTGGGTCTAAAGGCCCATTCAGGCCTATGGAATATACAGTATGCATTATGTTGCACTGCTGGCAGAGAAACCTTGTTTTTAAATGTGCCTGTTCAGACACCTACACTGCGTTACAACACAATTCAACAAAATTCTGAGAAATTCAATGAACAATCCAAATACTGTTGCCATGGCTTTAAGAAAGAGAAATTCTTGATGGCATTATTAGCAAACCATGGCTGAAATGGAAAGGTATAATTTAGTAGCACACAGTCGCTTGTATCACAATCCTTATTATGTTTTATCATTTTTTAACAAAACTGGAATCTCCGTTTTAAGTTGTGAACATTTCTATTAGTTTTACAATTCCTGTTGATTGCTTTTTAAATTTAACTCAAAAAAAGAACATAATTCTTTTTCTGTCCTGCCAGAAACTTGTGAACAGATAAAAACAAACACTCTAAAAATAGGAATGAATTCTGTGCCTAAAAACACAATATACTTGATGGGAAAAAAGTGTTCCGACAAGAAATATATCTTATCAATGGGAAGGAGTATTTTTTTTGTCCGTGTACCAACCTCAGATACATTGTATGGCCGTAAATGTGTGAACATCTGACTTCTCACACTTATGTGAACTTGTTGGAGATCCCATTCCAAAACCATGGCCAGTGATATGGGGTTAGGTCCTCCTCTGCTACTGCAAGACCCTTCACTCTTCTGGCAAGGCTTTCAACTAGATTTTAGAGTGTGTCTATGGGAATTTGGGATCATTCAGCCAAAAGAACATTTGAGAGGTCAAGTACTGATATTGAAAAGAGAAGACCTGTCTCGCAAGACCTGTTCTCTAAAGGTTGAACGAGATGGACATGTGTCTTTTTTCAACCTGACTAACTATGTAACTATGTAAATTTACATTCCAATTCATCCCAAAGGTTGATTTCAGGGCTCTTGAGTCCCCTTGAAAGGACATAGTTATGCTGAAACAGAAAAGAGCCTCCACCAAACTTTTTTCTACAAGGTTGGAAGTGCACAGTTGTCTAAATGTCTTTATTTGTTCTGACATTTACACTACTCTTCACTGGAAAACACTGAACTCAGTAATTTTGAGGGTGACCTGATAGTGGTGTGATGGTGAGGTGTCCACAAACGTTTGGTCATATAGTATAATCTAAATTACATTAAGCCCTGTATAAAGTTGACCCAAGTCAGGGCCATCATAATTAAGGGGCAAGAAGAGTATTTGGCCTGAGCCTGCTAGATAAGTAAGCTTGCTCACAGCTTAGTCTCCTGTGTCATGCATCACACCACTATATGTACTGTATATTTCTTTTCTTTTTATAAAGTAACAGTTGTTTAACAAAAACAAAATGGACCGAATAACTGTAATATGATCTCAGCTTCTAGTGCTGGAAATGATGGTGACATGCACATTAGGTGATCATTGAAAACAGACCAATGCCGCTATAATAATTTGTTGTTGGTGCCCACCCATTGGAATCCATGCTGTGTCTTCGCTTATAACTACCACTAACATCTATGACAAGGGAACCCATACATTCCGTTTTCTCCTGTGTATGAAGAGGCATGATGATTCTATAGACAGTTGTTGATGTCATAAGGACTTAGTGGTGTTCTTTGAGTTCACTCACAGTTTTTGTTTCCTTTTGGCTTTTGACACAGTTGCAAAACAGAAGACATGGAACAAGAAGGCCCTTTTCGTCCTCGGAGTTTTCTTTGTTTTGGGGATCGCTGCTTTAACTGTTGTAGCAGTGCTGCAGAATAAACCTCTCCCGGAGAATATTAAGGTAATGGAAGTCCCATCACATAACACTGCAAATTATGCCAAAGACCAGTACATGGTCCCTTGATGCAAAACATCCAGATATTTTATTGAAGAGGATTTGTCACTTTGCCCATTGAGGGTCATGATAGGGCTTCCCCCAAATAATGATACTTATCTTCCCTAAACTTCCCTGCTGCTCAGTTCTTCAACCCTGTGTCCTAGAAATTGGACTGATCAAGCCGGAGCAGTGCATCCTGGGAGGAAGGTGAGATAGTCTTTTCAGAAGGGTCCAATAGAAGAATGTAGTGGCAGGGGAGCGTGGTGAGTATAAGTGGGTGGGGGG